CAAACATTCTTATAACAAACATTCTTATAACAAACATTCTTATAACAAACATTCTTATAACAAACATTCTTGTAACAAACATTCTTATAACAAACATTCTTATAACAAACATTCTTATAACAAACAATCTTATAACAAACATTCTTATAACAGACATTCTTATAACAAACATTCTTATAACAAACATTCTTATAACAAACATTCTTATAACAAACAATCTTATAACAAACATTCTTATAACAAACATTCTTATAACAAACATTCCTAATTTAAAGTACGATGACTTACCCTTTGAGTACGATGACTTACCCTTTGAGTACGATGACTTCACCCTTTGAGTACGATGACTTAAGCCTTCCAGTAAGATGACTTCACCTTCTCTATTCAAAATAATATAATTTATCACTTTGTTTAAAAAAAATAAATAAAAAATACCAGCACATTTACTACCACTATTCTTAATTGGTTTCCCCCTTAATTAACATTCCTCTAATTAGTTATCTCAATTAAAAAAATAGTAATCTTATCCTTAATTACTTTTCTGTACCGTAATTTCATCCTCTAGTTAAGGTAGAGACTCGGTGTCAAATTTTGTAATGCTATTTCAGGTGACATTAATTTTACATTGTAATTAGTACGGTGGATTCTCAGTCTTGCAGCTTCGGTTACGAAGACTGAATTTACACGTATACGGGAACTACTTTACCTGTAGTTGATAGCCCTAATCTATACTCACCTGTGCTGTTATCTATGAATGAACGTACTATCTCTGGTTCACGACAGTTCTAACATGACACTATACAGTACCAGACAATTATTCACTGTCTTATAAAACTGAAAACAAAATATACTGCAAATACTACTACGACTATTACTATTACTACGACTATTACTACTGCTGCTAATAATAATAGTAATAATAGTGTGTGTGTGTGTGTGTGTGTGTGTGTGTGTGTGTGTGTGTGTGTGTGTGTGTGTGTGTGTGTGTGTGTGTGTGTGTGTGTGTGTTGTGTGTCCTAAAATGAAGGGATTAAAATATTATATTATTTATCACATCTCGTTAATGGCTTGTCTTTTATCTCTCTCTCTCACAAAAAGAGAGAAAATAAGGAAAAATCTCCAGTGACCTCAAAAAATTAACACAGGATGACGTCACGATATCACTTCCGCTTCCGGTTTCCGTTCAGGGGTCGGGAACCTGGGGTGCCTTAGTCCCTCTTGTCCTCAAACTAGGTCTCTTACCTCCTGAAGTGTGTCAACAACCCCGGCACTGTCAACAACCTCGGCACTGTCAACAACCCCAGCACTGTCAACAACCTCGGCAACAACCCCGGCACTGTCAACAACCCCAGCGCTGTCAACAACCCCGGCATTGTCAACAACCCCACTAATCTCAACAACCTCGGCACTGTCAACAACCTCGGCACTGTCAACAACCCCAGCACTGTCAACAACCCCGGCACTGTCAACCTCGGCACTGTCAACAACCCCAGCACTGTCAACAACCCCAGCACTGTCAACAACCCAGGCACTGTCAATAACCTCGGCACTGTCAACAACCCCGACACTGTCAACAACCCCGGCACTGTCAACAACCCAGGCACTGTCAATAACCTCGGCACTGTCAACAACCCCGACACTGTCAACAACCCGGCACTGTCAACAACCCCAGCACTGGCAACAACACAACAACCTCGGCACTGTCAACAACCTCGGCACTGTCAACAACCCCGGCACTGTCAACAACCCTAGCACTGGCAACAACCTCGGCACTCAACAACCCCAGCACTGTCAACAACCCCCAGCACTGTCAACAACCCCAGCACTGTCAACAACCCCGGCACTGTCACCAACCCTCGGCACTGTCAACAACCTCAGCACTGTCAACAATCCCGGCACTGTCAACAACCCCAGCACTGTCAACAACCCAAGCACTGTCAACAACAACAACCCCGGCACTGTCAACAACCCCAGCACCGTCAACAACCCCGGCACTGTCAACAACCCCAGCACTGTCAACAACCTCGGCACTGTCAACAACCTCGGCACTGTCAACAACCCCAGCACTGTCAACAACCCCAGCACTGTCAACAACCTCGGCACTGTCAACAACCTCGGCACTGTCAACAACCCCAGCACTGTCAACAACCCCAGCACTGTCAACAACCCAGCACTCAACAACCCGGCACTGTCAACAACCCAGCACTGTCAACAACCCCAGCACTGTCAACAACCCCAGCACTGTCAACAACCCCAGCACTGTCAACAACCCCAGCACTGTCAACAACCCCGGCACTGTCAACAACCCCAGCACTGTCAACAACCCCGGCACTGTCAACAATCTCGGCACTGTCAACAACCCGGCACTGTCAACACCGGGTACTATCAACACAAATCAAGTAACAACAATAACAAAACAAATAACAAGAATAGCAACACAAGTAGCAACAACAATAACACAAATAACAACAACAACACAGACACCATACCCCATCAATAA